TACATAAATAATTGGACATTCACAACAGTGCAATTTCATTAAAAGCTTGTTTTTGTTACGTTTCAACAATTACGATTGATGAATGTTTTCGACAAGTTCATATTTTTTCTTTTATATTTAATTATTCAATATTTCATATTATTATAATTTTTATTAAATAACTGATACTATTTAAAATGCAAGTTTTGTAAAATCTAAAATCTATGATTAGAAGCAAATATTTCAATCTTCAGCTTCTAATTATTATAATATTAGCTATTGTTATTTATGAATTGTATATGCTAAGACTAAATTAGAAAAATTCACTTAAATTTTATTTTACTTTACAATGTAAAAGTGCTGAAACACTTATGCACGATAATGTACGTATTATAATATGACTATGAAATATTTATATTTCTGTTCATTGTTAGACTATGGATGTTTATACAATTTCATATTTTGATGAAGATTTTTATGAAGTTGAAAAGTGAAATCTAAGTAAAAAATTAGTTTACTTTTTAAATATTGTATAGAGTAATATACTTTCAATATTTTGTATATTTTTTCATATTATTTACATTGTGTGAAATATTGCATCTCCAGATTTTTCATAAATGCATAAAAATTCAACAGTCTGGTCATCATATTCTAATCATTGTTAGATGATATACTTGAAAATTTCAAATGCAACTATAAAACTTTGATATGAGCAGCGTTTTTATGTATGATCAGCATTCGTTAGTTAAATATAAGTTAAATATAAGTTAAATATAAACATTTGAAACAATATTTCTTACCTTCTTTGCCTTAATAGTCTCAAAGTTTCCAATTGTTGCCTTTCTTCCATAGCTCTTCTTTTAATCTTCATCATGTGTCTGATAGATATAAAACTTCCGAATAAAACGACAATCGTAAGAAGTACGATCATCACGAATCCCCAGGTTCTTCTATCTTTATTGTAGTACAAAGATTTATTCCATATGTCGAAACAAGCAGTATGCCAAGTATAACCGGACACGTTTGATGGACTTTGGCAAAGCAAACTTTGATCTACGGTTTTTGCTGGTGGTTCTGTTAGAAAACTGTACATCAGATATAAGTCAATACAGTCGCAACGCCATGGATTGTCCTCTAATTTTATGATATTCAAATCAGGATTATTTCGAAAGATTTCTGGAGTTATAGCTTCTGTCAATCGGTTTCCTAAAAATTTAGGATTTACTATTATTGAGAAGTGCAGTTAAGAGATAGATTTACCATTGTTGAGAAATAAATAATTAGTATAAAATAAGTACTATTAAAAATAAATTTAAAAATAATAAATGTATTAAAATAAGAAAATTATCTGAAAGAAATCTTGTCATCTAAAAGTATTTGTACTTGATTATTTAATTTTTTTTTTATTATTTGTTTGTATAATTTGTAATCTAAACAATTCACCAATGATTCAAAAAATTAGTCATCCACAATGTATCGTTTCTCTTATAATGTAGAAATAAACTATTAAAAAAGCTACAGAAGTCTACATATATACATTTATCAAATTTCAAACATTTAAAACAAAAGAAAAAGTATTTTGGATATTTTTACTATTCAATTTGTTAAAAAGTGTCTAAAATGTTGAAAATTTCTTATTTGAAAGAACATTATATAACATATATAAATTGAAAATATACTTTTACGAAAATCTATATACAATTAACACATTTACAAGTAAGATAAATAATAACTGTTCTGATTATAATAATTTTACACACTTTAATACATCCATTGTAATTGTAACTTTTTTGTTCTGACTAATTTATGTTTTCAATAAACGAATATAAAAGAAACATTATTATTTTTTTTTTAAATCTATGTCATCAAAAAATAAATTAATTAATTAAAGTATTTAAAACCCATATTGTATTTGAAATTTGCAGAGATACGTAGACTTTTGTGACTGACTATATTTTTTAAGGGCATTTTAAGATTCCAAGACAGGCATGGTAGTAAACTTATCGACAAATTGGTAAAATCCACACCTGACAGATCAATCCTCAGAAGTTGTGGTAACTGGAGAAACGTATTGTTGCACACTTCAACTAATCTATTTCGCCGTAAATCTAAATTCTTCAACGATGTGGACTTCAATTTGGATGGAAGCCTTTGCAGTTGATTATCGCTCAAGATGATGCTTCTTATTTTCGGCATGTTTGCCAAGAAATTTTCATCCAGATCACTGATCAAATTTGACGATGCGTCCAACGTTGTTACGGTTGACGTGAAACTTGGAAGCTCGTACAAAACATTGTACGATAAGTTGAGCACTTTCAGCTCTACATTTTCGTGAAACGTCAACGGATGAATTACTTCCAAGTAATTGGCTGACAAATCCAATACTTGAAGTTTCACTAAACCCTCGAAC